TAATCGGGGGCGTGCTCGTGCTCGTCAAACCATCACGGTATCGAGTCACGCCTTCATGCTTTCTCACACAACGAATCTCTCTGAATCCTCACCAAAAGCCTCTCACAACCAAGGAAAATATGTAGAAAGTTCCTGTTCCTCCGCATCTCATCACTGCAATATTCGTACGTACGTACATAACATCTCAACCATCATACTATGCTACGAGTATATCGAATAGTATCCCTCAAAACTCACCAATGTGTTTTGCGCAAACACGACGAAACTGGCCAACATACATGCTGTGCGGGACCACCGATTGAGGTTGACTGCTGTCGTGCCATGCCAATGAATGGTGTGTTCGATCTTACAACGTACAACGGCGTGCAGCAATCACCCAGCCAGGCTGAAGTGGTGTACCCGAGCATCAGCATGGCCAAACGGTCCCGGTGTGCGACACATACCGTGGCATGCTACCATGCATGCTCGCCTGCGCCACGGTCAGCTGGTCTCCTGTAGAATTAAACGTTTACCCGTCGGATCCATCCGTGTATGTACTGCTGCTGCTGCAGACCCATCCAAGATACAAACAACTAGTAGCCTAGGGTGCCAAGCCGTGTCGACACTGCGACAACTGGTATCGTATGCATGTTTCTCCACTAGTGCATGTCTATAGGTAGGTAATGTTTGGTTGCGGCAATTGATGCTACACTAGGGAAGTAACTATTGCGGGGCTGGGTGACGGAGAAGTCATTACACTCATGAAGGGCATCCCACGCGCGGTACCGATGTTGCAGCGGCAGCAAGATCGGCTGAATGATTTTGTTCTGTTGCTGTGCCGACAGGTGCGTGAACGGAAAAAAAAAAACATCCGCCACAAATATTCGCCAACCAATCAATCAATTCAGATGATGGCCAGTTCGCGCTGATCACCCAGCCCCTTACCGCCCACCTTGGTTTCGAACGAAAACACATTAGTCTATCCCCCAAACAATGAAAAAATCGCCTCTTTGGTAGGGTACCGGTGGATTCCGTCCACCGACAACCGGTGGTAATCCTCGCGGAGGTGCATGAAATGCTCGCTCAAGAGTTGGCATCTTCGAGAACAACCCCAAGAGCTTACGAAGTGGATTAGCGCCGTGTGTGCTTCTCCCTTCTTCCCCTCGCCCATCGACAAGCTTTTGCTTAGACATGGGTTGTAGTGAAGGGGGGGGGTCTTTCTGGCGAGCAGGGCTAGATTCACCCTCAAGGGATGACCGAAACCTTCTTGCTGCTGCGCATATCCGCCGCGAGGCATGCGCGTGGTGGTGTAGTTGGGTCGGCACTGATGGGGTCAGGCGAAAAAATGTAGATGCGCGGGCCTCTGGCCGTCGGCGTAGGCAGCGATG